AAAAAAAAAAAAAAAAGAAGAAGAAACAACAGAGAGACACAGAAAAACTGAATAGATTGCAAGGGCATACTATTAATTGAAAAAAAGTATAGTGGAGAATGACATCTTCATGTAAGAAACAAATGCATTTAAGAAAATTGGCCAGGTGTGGTGGCTCATGCCTATAATCCCCGCATTTTGGGAGGCCAAGGCAGGTGGATCACTTGAGGTCAGGAGTTCTAGACCAGCCTGGCCAACATGGCAAAATCCCATGTCTACCAAAACATACAAAAAAAAAAAAAAAAATAGCTGGGCGTGGTTGCACATGCCTGTAGTTCCAGCTCTCAGGAGGCTGAGGCACAAGAATCAGTTGAATGCGGGAGGCAGAGGTTGCAGTGAGCAGAGATTGCACCACTGCACTTCAATTTGGGTACAGTGAGACCCTGTCTCCAAAAAAGAAAGAAAAAGAAAATATACACGCATTTGCTATGAGTATAGAATACAGAAAAGTTAAACCAGAAGCTAAAAATATTGGTTCTTTATAGTAGGTAGGTGAGGATTTGTGCAAGAGAGACATAGAAAGGTTAGTAAGAAACTAGATTACTTACCATGGACAGGTGGAAAATGATAGACAGCAGCTGGGAATGGGAATGGGGTGGGAGGAATGAGGTACAAACAGCACTTCGTGTACATCCTTTTACAAAGCTCAGACTCTGAGAATCACGAGTGTTTCACATATTTTCACAGACTGAAAAAGTAAACCATTGAAATCAACCAGGATTTTTTTTTTTTTTAACTTTTCTACTCAGTTAAAAAAATGGACCAAATTAAGAGTACAAAATCAGTCCATATATCAAAGCATGGGGGAAAAAAAAACCTAAGTAACTTTGGAAAACTGTTTCTTGACTGATAATATGAGGCAAAACCCCAAAAGAACTGCAGATTGATAGTACAATGTGGTTAATGTGTTTCTCCTAGGGTATGAATTAGCTCTTCTGAAACTATTTTACATGGGTATTACACTGAAAAACAAGAAACAAACAAACAAAAAAACCGTAGGTAAATACACTGCAGACAAGAGGCAGATTTCTCTATGCTGGAAAAAGTAACAAATAAAGAAAAACAGAATGAATCCTGTGGTGTTAGATTAAAATCAGAAGTTATCAGTACAAACCCATGATTTTTAATAAACAGATACATAAATGTATATTCATTAGTACACATACATCTATTTCCTAGCTCTATCCACTGAAAAGGCCCAGGAGGCAATGACACCTCACTGGTAATTAATATACTTAACTGAGCAGATGTTGGTTTCTAAATACCATCTTCCAATTAAAGGAACCAGGGTACCTTGAAGGGGTTGTTTCCAGAGCTGGGACAGGAAAAAAACCAGATGGTCCTATAGTAGTTTGTGGTGCCAGTGAATAAAAAAGTGTTCAAAAAAAGATGGGAACTTGATGAAAGAACTCAGGAGTCAACTCAAAGGAGTTCCTAATGGGCAAATGCAGAAGAATTTGAGCAACAAAACAATGATAAGTACTGATTTTTAACCCACATAATAAAATACCCAGGTGTCCACAGATTTAAATAATCAAATAAACTGGGAGAGAGAGGTATGGAGGCAAAGCTTGTTGTTATAAGAATTTCAAAAAATAAATGTGGAAGAAAAGGGCAAAACAGAAAATCACCTTTAGGCAAACACCACAGTGATAACAGTTACAGACAAGACCCAACAACGAATGCAAAACTTAGCGTTAAATTTGAGGAGAAAGGTATTTGCAGGTCTCAGTGTATCTCTCCCAAGACATTAACTACAAAGGAAAATAGTAATTTTACAGTGGAGACACCTGGAAGACATGACCTTAACCAAATGATTAAGGCTGATACACCAAAATCCAAAATAAGGAACTCGGAATGACACACTAGAATGTACCTCTTGATATGATGCATTTCTGTGGTATTCTTTTCAAAATCGCAAAATCTCATTTTAACCATCTGAGCACATCAAACAAACCCAAACTGAGGAACATCCTCAAAATACACCATCAGTACTCTTCAAAAATATCAAAGTTATGAAAGACAAAGAAAAATTGAGGAACTGTCCTGATAAACGGTCCTGAAAAACTGAGGAACTTTCCTCCGAGATTGGAGGAAATACTAAAGAGCAATAAATAACAAATAAACATAGACAAGACCTGGAGAACAGGAGAAAAACACTAGTACTTTTTCTAATGGAAAATTTGGTGAAATTCAAGTAAGATCTGTAGTTTAAGGTAATGCTATTGCACCAATGTAAATTTCCTGATTTGGATAATTATGATTCTATGTTACAATACTGAGGGAGGCTGAATGACACGAGGGGATATGGGAACTCTTGGTACTGTTTTTCGCAATTGTTATTAAGGACTAAAATTATTGTATTTCGAAACAGGAAGTTTAAAGGAGAATCTGTTGGTCTGCTGCTCTGTTTTATAATCGTTTAAAACAGAACAGGTAAGATCAGCTTCATTTTGTCCCATTCGAACTTTAATATAAAAAAGCTATAATTTTAAATTACAATTTAATACTTTGTTATAAAGACTGAAGCTATGAAATGGGGCAACACAATTTCATGGCCTGCAGAGCAAAACATGCAAAAATGTGGTATCGAACACTTAATCTGCTTCCACTAGCATCTTGTTCTATGAGGGAAGACCTATCTGACAGACGTAACAGACAGCAGGCTCAAAATCAAGTTTGTGAACACAAAAAGTTATTTAATGACAGGCCTCTTGAAATTACAAATCTGTTAAGAACACCACAACAGTCCTACAGTAAAGTTTGTTTCTAGGGAAAAAAATCTAGCACAGAAAGGCTCATGTAAATAGCAATTCCTAATGGGAGCACCCTTGTGTGGTGTAATTTCTGCTTTGGTTTTGGTGGGGGTTAGGGCATGGACTGAAAGAAACACAGTTTTTAACTACAAAATATATGCACAGCTGATCAAAATTTACTAAAGAACAAATCTACGTTTTTAGGTGATCTTTCAAAATCAGTCCTTGGTTCTGAATTATCCATTAACTAGTGGGGATTCAAGCTCACCCCCTTGTCATTAAAATACATATTCATAAAACTTTAAAGTTGCACTGTTCTAGTTACAAATAGCTTCTACTTTTCTAGGACATAATTTCACTTTCAAGAATTCATTAAAGAAGCTATAAATAACCTTTAAATATTTAGCCATGAAGAGAGGGTGGACTGGCATTGATGGCTTATTTTAGTGCTAATGCAGAATGCTTTTTAAAAGCTACATTTTAGCATGCATCAAGCTAATGACTAACTTGTAGTGTTATTTTCAATGTTGGAATAAATTTCTCTTTATTTTGAGGAGTTGTGCTAAAAGTAAACGTGTTATTTCAGTTAGTAGGAAAGTAGCCCTAAAGAATGAAAATGTTGGGAAGTTTAAACTGTAAGGAATTTTTATTTAAAATATTTTTTAAGCATCTAGACGTTTCGTCTCCCAAAACATAGTCCCCCAGTGACACTGCAGAAAATAAGGGAGAAGCATCTGGGGAAGGTTGTGTGATACATGTAGCATATATTATGAATCAAGGATGTATCTAGACTTAATTTTGAATCATAAAGTTCACAACATTTTTGAGACCAAGTTTCATAAAATTTTTACTCGGAAAAAAAAAAAAAAGTTTTACAAAATATCTTTCCAAAGAAATTTTCCCATAGAGTACAATTAACTCATGTAGTTTTCTGCCTTAAAGATTACAGTATGACATTCAGAGGGGAGAGGTTTCTTAAATAGCCAACTAGCTGCAAAACCTACAAGAGAAGTAGATTTTTTTTTAAGGTGCCTTTAAAATGTAAAAGCAAGTGATATAATTGTTGAATCTATTTGAAATTTTAAAATTGTCTTTAAAAGGGTCCATATGGTATGCACAATATCACAGCTGGTACAAAACTGCCTGTATTTAGTTTGAAACACAAAAACAATGCATATGAACAGTATTCTTTGAAAAGTAATTCAAAATGCTGCCACTGCATCATAAAGGCAAACTCAGACAAGTGTTGACAGTATTCAGAGAATTAACAAAACAAGCTGGATATTAAAGTATTCAGACAGTTACTTTTGATTTTTTTCAAATACCACCGGTAAGGGTAAAAGAACTTGTTGCCAAAGTAACTCAGGATACCTTATTTCAAACTACATGTAACCTATTTTGCTATAGAGATTCTAAACAAATGAACAACTAGGTTTTAAGATGTAAATTCCCATTTCCTACACAGGGCCTAGTTTTTCTGCTGCAATCTGGAAGCTTTAAACTTTGAAACCCTCTTTCCAGTTTCTTCTGATGCTTCCAACAGAACTTCCTTTCGTTCTGGAATGGTGGGTAGCGCAGGATGAGCAATGGCTGGGTGTGGTGTTAAGGAAGGCGATACAAATTCTTTTTCTATAACAGTTCCAGAAAAAGCCTAGAAAACAAAAGTCAGATTGTGATAATAAAATTCAAGTAAGATACCCACAGAATCTCCCCAATCACTAATTAGACAATTCTTTTCATTAAAAGTAAATTAACAAGATTTTGGCTAGACAGCACTACAACATCAAAATACTAATTGTTCAGAGAAAGCAATATCATTAAAAATTTTTTAATTATACCACCAAATATAAGTAATTTTTACAGTATACGTGCTAGAAAACAAAATGTAAAATGCAAATTTTATCCGAGAAAAAAACAGAAATGGATCAATAAAAGGTCTTCCAACTTTCACACATTCCAATCATGTCCAGCCCATGCTGTGAAAAATAACGTATTAAAATAAAAATGCTATTAGGGTGTCAAACTCCGACTTTTGTACATCAGTTGATGAATGAAGAATCCTATGGTGGCCTTGCTGCCTGCTAGCCAATAGCTTAGTTTCACCAGTACTGACATTTCTAAATGACATCTCTTTGGTGGTGTTTATGCAATGATTTAAATATTTTATTGCATATTGTCTCAATTTTAAGAGATCAGTGGAAACTGAAAAAGTGCTGATACTAGCAGGAATAAGCACAGGTTTCAAAATTTTAATTAACTCAATGACAGAAATCAGAATTTCCACAAAAAAGAAATGATTCAATTTCAACTTGGATGTTTGCTGCACTTAATCTGGTCAACTAAATGTTCAACTGGAACAGTATTAAACAACGTGCATAAATTACTGGAAATATCTTTACATATCATTTTATACAAAAATATATAAAAGCCAGGGGGTTACTTTTTTCAAGATTTCTGGTATTTAGAACCTCTATCTTTCCCTCTACAAACCAAAATTTGACAGGTAAACTTTAGTGTACATTTTTCTTTCCTCTGTCTACCAAATGCTCAAAATTAGTTATAACAGTGTATCACCTGAATTTCAAAAAGCCACCTTTCTCTACCTTGCCCCACCACTGAAATAAAAACAAAGAAAACCATCTCTCTCCTACATTATTATTGGAGGTCAGCTGGTAAAATCAGCTTTTAAAGCTTACTTTCCTAAAAACTCCGCTCCATCATGATGAGCACAGAGCCTCCTTCTTCTCCTTCTTCTATTTAAAATGCTTTTGAAAAAGAGATAATATTTTAGCATTTAAAAAGATACTGAAAAGGCTATCTTCCAAAGTACTTACCATAATCATGAACTACTTCTTTGATGTTAAAAAATTTACAGCAACTACTATTAAATATTTCCATACAAAATGCAAAGCTAATAAGGGTGAAATAAAAAATACGTTCTACACTCTAACTCTAGCTGTAACATGATACACTAAGTCCTTACAAAAAACTAATTTTCAAATATTTATCGGCAAAAGTCTACATCCATTACCTGTTTTCTAACAGTATGGAAAACTACTAAGGTAAGATACTTTCCAGGTCACATAAGATCATTATACTGAGAAGAGGGGAAGAAACATTCTAGTTATAAGTACTGTCCCTAAATGCTACCAATCTCCACCCCCAATTATCACTTAGTACACTGAGCATAATTAATAGCATTTAGTAATAGCAATGGAATTTTTATATGTGGTCATATACATATATATGCATCTATCTTACTGTATATACAGATGTGCACATTGGTTTGTATATACAGTATCTTCCTAAATATTTTTTAAATTGAAAACTTCAAATACTCACCAAAACATGATAAAAAAAAAAAAAAAATCAATAACCTTATATTTCACAGACATCCTTATCTGGAGAGTTCCTAATCTTCCCGCACTGCCACCAAAAACTTAAGCAGCATGGTGGGTGAAAGTATACTGAGTATGCACTAATTTTTTCTGAGGACAGGGTCTATAGCTTCCATTGGACTATAAAACAATTCCATAATCCCCCAAGAGTTAAGTTTCACTGGTACAGGGCAAAACAGTAGGCTTTAGATAATTATCTGCTATGCATGCATTATTTTTAACTTAGCCAAGGTATTTAAGAGAGAATACTATAATCTGCTCCTTACACTATCAGAAAATGATCTGCTGGTGATTTATATACAATAAACTGCTAAATAATTTCCTAGCTACAAATGTAATACATACACCAAGTAGGATATTTTACATTTCCCATTTTGTGGAAACAGAACTTTAAGACCAGCAATGCATTTAATTTTTTAAAAAAATATTTGAATATCACAATATTTGTACTGTTTGTGCCTATTAATTTTTTACAAATTATCAAGAAAGTACAAAACCTAGAATTAAATCTTAATGAGTTTTCAGATTAAATGGCTGAAGTTGGCCAGGCCTGATGGCTTAATCCAGTAATCCCAGCAGTTTGGGAGGCCGAGTGGGTGAATCATGAGGTCAGAAGTTCGAGACCAGCCTCACCAACATGGTGAAATCCCGTCTCTACTAAAAATACAAAAATCAGCTGGGCATGGTGATACACGCCTGTAATCCCAGCTACTCAGTAGGCAGAGGCAGGATAATCACTTGACCTCAGGAGGCGGAGGTTGCAGTGAGCCAACAGCGCATCATTGCACTCCAGCCTGGACGCGAGAGTGAGACTCCGTCTCAAAATAAATAAATAAATAAATAAATAAACAAACAGCTCAAGTTGGTCAAAGATACTATATGAAATAAAGAATTAAAAGGTGCACACGCACCTCAAGTGTTCCCGATAAGGGCAAAAGTTTCTTTTGATGATTTTCTTGTGGTTCCTCTTCCAAAATGCTCTCACTGGTGTCACTGCAAGTGGCTTCTTCGCAGCTGATGCTCCTCAAAATGCCCCGCCTCTCATCAAATTCAGCAGCACTGCTTTCACTGGTATCACTACACACACTATTCTCTCTGCTTCGAGACTTCAGGATGGATTTACGAGGGACGTATTCTCCATTCACAACGTCAACAAAGGCTCTGTGAGATTAAAAACATATATACATTCATTGAACGTAACTCATAAAACTGAGAATAACTTTTTGAAGATTTCCTTAAATCTATTCTAGAAATTAATCTGAAAATTTTTATTAAAACCTTTTATCTAAAATAGTCACAATCAAAATAATTCATGGCCTCAAATGACATTTCATACTATTTTGAAAGATATGAGTTCTCTGATCTAATTGAAAACACAGCATGTTATTTTTAAGCATGTCCTAGGTAGCAACAGCATGGTTTGCCAAAATTCTGTATAAAGTTTTAGACCCATGTATACATTTAGCAATTTTCACTGTTTTACAAATAAGGGTCATTAAAAAAGCAGGTATTTTTAAGTGATAGTTTTCTCAACAATTCAAAAAAAAAAAAAAAAAAAAAAAAAAAAAAAAAAAAAAAAAAAAAAAAAAAAAAAAAAAAAAAACAAAACCTGCAACAGTATAATTTCTACTCAGAAAAGGTAAACTGCATGCAAAGCATATTATGGCTGTGGTAGAAACGGACGGACCCAGCCCACTGGAAACAAACATACATTTCTGAAGATACAAGATTTTCTGACTAGACCGCTTGGAAATGTTTCAAAGGCACTGGTGAAGGGGAGAAAGGGGAAAAAAAAGTCCACCATTCCCACTGCTCTGTACTGGGAAGCGGCCACTCAGCCTATCAGATCCTAAGCTAACTCCTCAGAACACTTCACTTTGCACTGCCCTGCAGCTGTGAGCGCCTCCCACCTGTAAATGTCAGCAGGTGTCCTGATGGTCGGCAGCTCCTGGGCAGAGTGGCCACTGCCAGTGCTGTTCTTTCGTTTACGTTTGGCTTCTTCTTTCTTTTCACTGAATTTTAAAGTGGTATTCTTTCCAGTATTTATTCGGACCTAAAATTTCAAAGCAAATAATTAAGAACCGTTTGACAAATGAAATCAAGGTGAAACCGAAACAAACTCTCTAACTAAAGAAATAACAGGAAGAGAGGCAGCTGAAATTTTCTGAAGCTGAAATGATATGAATTATCAGCTGGAAATAAAAAGAAGTCTTTACCCACAGACCTACGACATCTAAAGGAAATCTTCTTTAATAACAAATCCTAGTCTTCAGTCTTTATTGTTGTATAGAAAGCAAAACACATTTTAACTAAATGCTAGATTTCTTATAAGCTTCATATCACTCCATTCCTTTGATACTAAGTTTTTGGCTTGAATTATGCATTTCAAAACAAACAGGATAAACAAAAAAATATTCAGTAAGCATATAACCTTTAAGTTATAAAAGTACTATTAAATAGTACCTACCGATTTAAAATTTTTAAAACATCTCTAAGTTTTAGAAACTGAAGCAGTAAAAAAATAAAAACCTACCCTGTTCAGGGTTAACATGGGGTTAACGTATTATTTTTCTGCCCCAGTCACACTTAGACCATACTTTGCATAATAATTCCCTATAACATCCCTGCCAATATATTTGTTCTTTCTGTTTTATCTAAATGAAAACAGGAAAAAAGTAAAAGCCTGGCAAAAAAGAATCACAAAACCAACTTTTTTTCAGGCTAATCCCCTCAGTCAATTTTTCCCAAAGAATTCAAGGAAAGATCCCTTCAGTGTGACATATTAGAATATAAAAACACACACAGTTATTTCACTTCATATTGGAACAGGAATAACTTCAGGAAACTAAGAAATACCAAATATGTTTTAAACATGTTTCATTAAATAATAAACACACACACTTAAGGCCGATCCCACAGACCCTTAACGTTGATACAGGCAATCAGGATATTGTGTAGGAAGGGCATTGACTGAGACGGAAGAGTTCCTGTTTTATTACCAGCCAGATCTATGTCTTCTAGGCCTTAAGTTTCCCTGAGAAAGACGAATTCCCAGTGTCTCCTTAGAGCAATATACAGAGCACAGAGAGGGCAAAGACGGACTTAAGGCAGCCTATCCTTCCTTTAGTCAGAGCCAACCTGCTTTGATCTATTTTAAATACTGGGATTCTACAGTAAGCATGGAGGGAACAAAAGGTTTTCTTCATACTAGAGAAAAGCTTTAAAACTCTGAATTAGAAAATCTCCATAATCACTCCCTGCTCTAAAAGGCCAAAATTCTAAAGTCATGATTATCCACAGATGACTATATTTACTTTGTCAGAAAAGAAACTCATTTTTACTTCCTCCTACATTTTCCCTTTGTGTTTATGAAGTATTCATTTTATGTCCATAGAAAACAACCTGGCATAATTAAAAATTTAACTAATGCAGTCACTTTTAACATCCTAAGCACACCAAAATGCCCACAATATAATTAACTCCAGGATTCTTAAGAAAACTCTCTGAATGAAGGACAGGTGAAGTTACAGTAGTTGCCACTCAAATCTGTTCCCTTCCAGGCCCCAAATAATGCACTGTTCAGAGAACAATGGACCAATAGCAACTAACTAGATTTTTCCCCCTTTTTCTTCTTAGATAAATTGGTCAGAACAAGAGGCAAAAGATGGTTTTCCTGTCTGGCACTATCCACAATGATAATAACTGTTAACACTGCACTTTTAAGAAATATCATAATGCTTCATGTTCCAACTATAAGCAAAATTAGTAAAGTTAAATGTATACAAACCCTCTTAGGCTCAACAGTATGAGAAAAATATATTGTTGGTATAGAATTATCTCCAACTCCTAAAATCTCATGGCCATTATCACCATCATCGTCGTCATCAACGTCGTCATCATCACCATTGTCGTCATCATCATCATCATCATCATCACTGTGGTAAGAACTGGAACCATTCACTGAACAGTTCAACTGACTATTCAACCGACCACTAAATGGTTCTGAACTTGCCACATCCGTATGACAACTGGCCGGGGTATGAGAGTCTGTTACTTGATGCATCACATTCACATTTGTGTTATGATCTTCCTTTTCTTCTTCAGAAGATGTCGTATCTTCTCCATTTGCAATCACAGTATCAGGCTTACTAGTAAGGGAGAAGAAAATTAACAAGATCAAACAAACATACTAGACTTTTATATTATTTTAATTTCCAGTTCGTTTCAATGGGTAAATACTAAGATTTTGAATAAGGTATTTTTAAAACTAGAATTCTAAGCTCAAAAAGAAAAAAATGTTTTGAAATAAATTAACGAAAAACATTAGTTCCTATGCCACTTCTGCATATTACAGTTATTCAGACCTAAGTCGAATATAGAAGATAATTTTTTTTATCTTTGCAAGAAAGATACTGGCCATACGCAATATAAATATAGTGCCAATATGACAATAATAAAGTTGTAAGAAATTCAGAGAATATGTATCTCTATTTAAAGACCAGAAATTAAAACCACATAACCATAATACACACTTATTTTCTGCTTCTATACTCAGAATATTTTACAATAAGCAAGTATTATTGTAATTTTTAAAAATAAAGGATTTATACATATGCATATGAATATATTTATATATGTGAGTGAACATTTATCATACTTGATTTTATAAAAGATTTGAGGACTTTAAAAAAACAACAAAATCAAAAATGCAACAGAATTGAAATAACATTATACAAAACTAGAAAGAGAATCGTGACCAAGAAAAATCACAGGAACCAAAATTGGTTTTAAAAAATGGATAGTATCAGTTAATCAAAAGGACCTAAGAATTTACAGGTGAAATGGTAGGAAAAAGAAACTTGTATGCTTCCTGCCTTATTTCTCACAGAAACTAATTATTGCATATGGTACACCATTTAAGGAAAATAATATAGGAACTTCTCAAGGAGCAGACTTCATTTAGCATTTTAACAATTCTAAGTGTGTGCTAATGTGTATTTCAAACAGCAGTGTGGTAAAGTTTCTCATACACATAGCTATCTGACCAGATTACAAATTACCTGTTCCAAAGTTTATAAAAGGAAAGCAAGAATAAACATTTTACTGTATCAAACTTAAATTCAAAGGATATTTTTGTTTTTCACAACACATCCAAAGATAAAGCACTATCCTGGGTGCAGTAAAAAATACTTCACTTAAAATTTAATCTTATATATATTAAATCCATGATTATTAAAAGTCAACTATCTGGTATAATTAATTATATAAAATAGGCTGTAATAAAAAAAGATGTTGACCTTAAGTATTTAAGTACATGCACATGCATGGGAATATGCACAAACACAGAATCCTATAAGAAAAGACTCCAGAGAATTAATGTTTATACTGAGGTGAAAGGATTATTGATAATATACTATGCTTCCTTGCATTTTCTTCAATGAATACATATTATTTTATTAATGAAGAAAAAGATTAATGAGGAAATGTGTATAGAAACAAATTATCTTGGAAAGATAATCTGTCATCAAATACCTATCAAGTTCACCCAGCAATTCTTCTTGTCTCTCTAGTTCTTCAAGTCGAGCCCACAGTTCTTTATCAGCAAGCAAATCCTTGGATTTCATATCATTTGCAATATCTGCTTCAAAAGTATCTGAAGTTTTTGGTTTGGAATGTGGTTTATGAGCAATTCGGTGTTTTGCTATTTACAAAAAGGAAAGATGTAGCTGTTAATAGTCAACATAAAAAAGGCACAAACCCAGACTTAATGAGACTTTCTTTTGGGGCAAGGGAGATACTGAAACAGAGGAGTCACAATTTTTAAGCCAAACAGGAGAACTCTAAGGATGAATGTCTCTCACAGCCTTGCTACTCAAAGTGTGGTCCATGGACCAGCAGCACAGGCGTCCCTGTGGGAACTCTTCAGTAGTGTAGACTCTAAGGTCACCCCAGACCCACTGAATCAGAATCTGTATTTCAACAACAGCCCCAGAGAATCTGCACGCACATTAAAGGTTGTGAAGCAGAGCTTCAAAAATGCATAAGCAGAAATGGCCACAATGCACCCTGATTATAAAGTGAAATGCAATACATAAATGATACATTTCCATTTACCATCCTTACTCAAGGAAATCTAGTTACTACAGTAGCATGCAAAAGCCTTGTCACAGGATACTTTAAACTCCAGGGCACTGCCAAGGAATGAATACCCTACAAGGAAACAATAAAGGCTCATCTCTGGAAAGTTCTACTATCGTTTTACGTATGAACATCTCTACTTTTTAAACTGCTTTGTTTCTTCACATGA